TTCAAAAGACATACGGACGATCTCTGGATGTCCTGAGAATATCCTCTAGAGGATCTGTGATGTAGGAAAGTTACCGATAAGATGCAATGTAACTAAATTAAATTAAAAAATTAAGAGTCTAAAATATAACTAAGTTAAGATAAAATTAATTAACTTTTTAACTTTATAACTGAACTTTTAACTTTTTAACTTAGTACTTTCCAATCCTGGGTTCTCGATATTTCGTAGGCGCCAACCCCCGATGTTCGTGAAATCGCGGCTTCGCGCCGGTCGATCGAGCGGCCGCACCGCATGATTTTCAGAACGTCCGCGAGGCGGAGAGAAGACCTTGCTCGACTGGAAAACGCAAACAGTGGCGGGAGTAGAGTGTAGAGCAAGCGGTGTAGAGCTATAGAGCAGTTGCTATCGTCGTGGCTATACATCTATACATCTATACGTCCATACGTCCAAGCAAATTTCCTTCCTCGACCGCAACAACCCCTCGGGGTCTCCATTGTGAGATTTTTTTTTAACAGTATGTCAGATTGGGACACCGCGCCTATCACTTTACGTAAACGTGCCCCGAAGTCATCTACGTTGAAAACGGAGAAGGTAACCCATCTCGTCTAAGCATATCTGCGCCACACGATTGTATAACCGATTGTGTTTGTTTACAGGCAGTGAACGACGCACGGCGACAAGGTTTCACCGTGGAGACACAAGCGAAATGTGAGTAGCACGAGTCTACCTCCCTGGGATATCTTATTCCTCGTTTTTTCCTCGAGATCTCTCTCATCGTAGACAACGTGTTCGCCGGTTCAATTATGTATACTCTCTTATATTTACGAACATAATCGAGTTACATCATGGACTCGTAAAACCAAACTGCAAATTGCAAAAATAATGATTATCATGTTTTCTTGAGAATGTCTATACAATACCAGTCTAGATAGCAACGTATCTGTTTTGTTGCTTGCTGGCATGTTGCTTGCTAAGTATACATTGCTAAGCGTGTGTTGCTACCAGAATTGCAGCAACTGAGTCCTCGTTTGTTGGCAACTTGATGCCTTCACGATATAACTTTGAGTAGCTCGTTATAGTTTGCCAACAACTTTAAAATCGTAATCAAAATTCGTATTACTGCCATCATGTTGCATCATACAATGCTATCATATTGCTGACAATACAAGATAACATTAATGTTATCTTACTGTTAAATTGTTGGTAATTGTTGCCTGCATGTTGCTACAATGTCGATATGTTTGAAATCATTGAAGACAAATCTATAGTAAGTTGCCAGCATTATATGCAATAACAAATTTGTGCAATTTTGCTATGTAGGAGTATAGGCTTTTTACAATAAATCATTATCTAAATTTTAAGTTTTAAATCATAAGAAATTAATCAGTTATAATCGAATGTGAAAAGACTAATCGACTATGATTGAATCATTTTTTACAGCTTCAGACTTAAAAGTTTAGATAATTATTGTAGAAAGCTCAACATAGTAAAAAAGGACATGTAATCTGAATTAGTATTGTATTATATTGTATCGTAGATGAAAAGGCAGTTTGAAAACAAAGTAATTTATTGTGTTAATGTATAGAATAAACTGCACATACATAAATATATGGTTTTATAATTAAAACTCAACTCCAGATTACGAAAATAATAATTATCATATTTTCTCAGGAGTGTGACAATTCAACATGCAATACAGTTGCAATAAAAAAAGTACATGTAATCTGTGTTATTGTTATATTGTGTTATAGATGAAAAGTTCAAGGCAATTTGAAAATAAAGTAATTTGTTGTGTTAATGTAAAGAATAAACACACACATAAGTATATGATTTTATAAAACTGAATCCCATGAAACTAAACTGCAAATAATTATTATATTTTTTCGAGAATAATATCTATGTACAATCACTAGCACAGTTACAGTAAAAAAAGTATAACGTGTAGTCTGTATTGTTTTATCATGTCGTAGATGAAAAGCTGAAGGCAGTTTGAAAATGTTGTGTCAGAATAGAACAAACCTGTCCAATTTGAATTCCGGAGCCAAAACGCAAAGCCATCGACGTAAAAAAATTCATTATAAGATTTTAAGAACTATAGTGTTGATAAACGTCACTTAGATGCATATTAATACTTGATAGTCCCCGAAATTTTACCCACATTGAATCTTTTTGCATCAATAGTTTTGTGTTTTGGCTCCAGAGTTCAAATTGGATAGCTCTGGTATAGAATAAATACATATGTAAGTATACAGATTATCTCTTTCAAGAAATACAACATAGTATTCTATCAATAAACTACATAAATAATAGAGATAATATAAATTTTTCATGAAATAAGATTTGAAATGGTTTTCTTGGTCCACACATAAAATAACAATATCTTAAAAGCGTTTTATTGCGTTTTATCACAGATATGTGCTATTCTATAATTTCTTTCTGATAATTTGATCAAATGTAATTCTGAAATAGAAAAATATTTCTGATTATAGGGGGTGGTGGTGCAAACAGACAGCACGTAACCACAAAGAACACAGCCAAATTAGATCGTGAAACGGAAGAATTGAAACACGATCAAATTCCACTTGAGCTCGGCAAACTTATCCAGCAAGGACGACAGAACAAAGGATTATCACAAAAAGACCTGGCAACGGTAAAATTTTTCTTGATTTACATTGAACTATTTATTGGCACCAGAAAAAAAATAGCTTTTTAACTATTATATCATAGTTGTAAAATTCTTTAATCCTCCCCTGTAAAATTTTCAATCTTGATTTTGAGAATGGATTGTTGAGAACCATATCAAATTTGTTCATTGTTCCTATATAAACATTTAAAAACACTCACATATTTCTAAAATCTTTAATAAGTGCTATCATAATAAAAGTCAAATTGTATTTTATTTATTTTTTACAAATTTAAATGTAAGAGTTTTAAAAAAACGTGATATCAATTAAGAATTCATAACTTTTGTGAATGGAATAAAAAATCCTTTTAGGTTTTAATATGTATTTTGGGAAAAAAATAGTATAATGTTGCCTTTAACAAATTATTGAATTATTTGGATATCTGGAAATGAATTTTTTATGAATTAAAAAATTGAAGCTTGAAGAAAAAATAATCAATTCTTGGATCAATTTATATACATTTTATAATTTGACTCAGTATATGGTTGAGTTAGTAACGCATATTGTGATTGTGGATGAGATGACCCGATTAATACATTTTTTATACCGTTACCGAAATTAATTTCTAAGTTTTTAATATGTTCATATAAATTATTGTTAAGGATTTTTATTTCATTTTTAAACACGGCTGATGAGAACACAGTATGGTCGAAATGTTTCGTGAAATGATAACAAAAGAATAATAAAGGTTTACTGTTTACATTTTAAAGCTCGTTTATTGTAATGACCTGATAGAAGCCCCTTATTTTATTGTATAAAATTCTTTGATGGGTAGTCTTTATGGCAATATGATGCAAAAAATAAATATTATATGCCAGGTTTTAGAACAAAAAAAAAATATATATATATATGTTTATTTTTGAAATTAGCGTCAAAAACATGAAAAACAAAAAATTTTTTTTAATTTGTTGAAAATGCTTGCATGGTCTGCAATGTAGTTGAGCGCACAAACACGATTTCTGTACGCTCTTAGGTGGAAACAAACAATTGCACATGGGCGTCTTTGCACACACACAATCTCTCAACATTGCCAAGTTTTTTTTTTTTTTTAGAGCGGACATCGAACTTTACCATCTGTCCATTTTCTTAGTATAATTAAAAAATCGACTGTCCATCGGGTCAATATGATCTTACCTTTAGTTTCTTACTGGATCCAAATGTATAAATCAATCATATTCAAGAACATTACAATTGCAGAGCTGTGTTTCCTTTGAGCGCAGCCAACATTGGAAGAGAATAAAGTCCGAAACATAACTGAAAAATATAGATAATAGGAACAGAGAGTAACAAATTTTAATTTATCAGAAATTGTGTGTACTAGAATATAAGGTTTCCGATAGGTTAAAATCTGTTATTTCCATATGTTTTTAATTATGTCTTAAGTTTCAAGTCATGAATATTTTTTTATTAATAATTTTTAATGCTCTTTACAGAAAGTAAATGAAAAGGCACAGGTTATTAATGACTACGAAGCCGGACGTGGAATACCGAATCAGATGGTAATTGGCAAGATCGAGCGAGTACTTGGAATTAAATTGCGCGGTAAAGATCGTGGTAAACCCTTAGCGGCCCCCGGGACGAAGAAGTGAATCTCGGGGGGAAGCAACATCTATCTTTCGATCCTTATATACTGTTTCCAAGAAGGAAGAAGTATGAGAAAGACGGTAGAATGGAATGCAACAAAAAAAAAGAAACACAAACCCCTATCCTCTTTTTCTTTGGTTATACAGATATTGTGAACGATAAAAAAATGGGTTATAATTAACTTGTCTTTTATGTACGAAATAAAAGAAAGATATTTTAAGATATCACGAATACGTACGAGTGACATACGGTTACATACGATGCATACAGTAACATAGCATAACGTTAAAAAAGGCTTGAGTTACCTTTGCGCGCGTAATCGTTTGTTATAGATTTTTAAGTGTATATTACTAATGCTAATCATGAAATAAAAATGAATCATGTGTTTGAATGAAAAAATAAAATTTTTAATTTATGATAACGTACCATATATTCTCATTGAATATCACAAAGTTTTATTAAAAATTTATAAAATATGTATTGTGGATAAAATGTTTACACGTATATTAAGTAGCAAATATAGTGTATAAATATTAAAAGAGGCCTATTTAAATACTGCTATGTGTATTTGTATATTTCAGACTCTTTTTCGTGTGTATCTTTTGTATATTATTCAATCCGTGCAATTTCAATTTGTGAGTTTAAGATCAATTATAAAATGATTATTCCATAATGTGCTATCTTTTTTAAAAAGTATTTGAAACAGAAAAAATTTAATAATACAGTGTTGATATACTTTAAATGCTTTCTTTCCCGATTAATCCTTTCTCAGAGCAAAACTGGAGATTTCTATTCCGTCCTTGGTAATAATTTTGATAGTTATTCCATCACCTGTGTATATATCTCTTTCGGCAGCAGAAGTGAAAACATCTTTCAAGATTGCTATAGCCTTTTCTTGAGTTAAAGGTGCAGGAGTAACACCTTCTTGATTTTTGTAACCAATCTAAAAGATAGAAAAATTACTAGTACAAGATGTAATATTAATTATACATTTTCTTTTTCTTAAACGTTTCTTATATAAATATATAAAGTCTATTTATATATTCATGTGTATATATGTATACATAAATATAAAAGATTAAAGTATTATATGTACCTGATTATCAAGAAGTGGTTGCAAAAGTGCACCAGCTGAACCACCGGCTCTGTATGTAGTTTTCTCACAATGTCCAATTGGATCATAGCTGTATATACAACCTTTTCCATTCTCATCTAATCCAGCAAGTATATTACTAACATAATAAGGAAAGAATCTCTTATGGTATAGCATTATCGACAGCATTTGTGCCGTCGCTGGAGTTGACATTTCCTTTTGATGTTCATGTTTATACATCTGAAGCAAAATAATAACGATTATTATATTCATGTTTAACAATTTAGTATGTATCGAATGTTATCATATGTTTTATTATATTTTAATCCTAATTAATTCCAAGTACAAGGTTTAATACCTGCATGCGAGCAGATAGGAGACGAGTTAGAGTTGTGGTATCACACCAACAACCGGAGCATCCTAAGATAGTCGTGTCTGACAATGGAAATAATTTATCTTGATTTCGAGTGTGAATCGTGAATCCAGTGCTGAGACGCGTATCTGCAGCTATGACGCAGAAATCATCCCCAGCGAGAGCCACAACACTCCTGAGGATGAAAGTTTGTTTTCATATAATTATGTAGATGTAAAATATTTCATAAATATATAAAGAACATAAAATTATAAAGAGGTATTATAAAATAAAAACCAAGAATATTGACCAACCGTAGAAGTGTATACTCTTACAATTATGACACTTAAAATTAGTAAAAGTATAGGTTATTTTTCACTTACCCTCCATTGTCGGAATATGGATTGAAGTTTACTTTTCTCACTCCCTGTACCTCATAATCGGGTAAATTTCCTTTCCCATTTTCAATAAATAGATTCATCATCGCGCTTGATTCGCCAAAATACCTCAAATACAATTACCTGAATGACAGTATGACACTACAGTTTCTCTTTCGTAGTTTCTCACGACGGTACAGATGGCAGACGTCACAGCAAAACAGTCGCGGATTTACATGAGTTCATAAAGCATTCATAAAAAGGTCTGTTCTTCTTGGCTGAATTTTTACACCAGTTCATCTTTCTTCTTTTTCTCTCCAGCAAAAAAGAAGAGGAAGATAGATGAATTGGTGCAAAAGTTCAGTAAAAAAAAACAGGCCTAAAGCATTATTTCATGAAATACTGAAAAGTTAGCGTGTCACAAGTTCTTCAAAGATCTATAAAGATAGAAATGCGTGTATTTTTGCTGCTATCATGTTTCTGTAAAATAAAAACGCATTCTGATTGGAAAATTTTTCCCTGATAAAATTTTTTTGAGAATATTTCATGTAATTTTCAGAATTTTTATGTAAATTTCAGAATTTTTCAGAATTCTTTTAAGAGTACAATACTTTTGAAGAAAATTAATTTTTTAGAAGTAAATATTAACGAAACTGACATATAAGAGATAAAAAAATATTTGAAATTGAATGATCTTATAAGAGTACTTAAAAATTTTAATTTAAAAAATTGTTTTATTTTTACTTTTATAAATGAAAATTTTTTTCATTTAAACAAATTTTTTAAAATTATTACTGTTAAGTATTTTTCAAATCATTGAACTTTTCTTCAGAACATTAGTTAAGTTTTATCTCGAATAGTTTCAAATGATATTCGTATAGAAACGAATATTTATGTAAAAAAAAATTTTTCACAGGTGGTATTGTACTCCCTAAAAGTGTGATTTAGCCTTTATAAAAAAATATACATTATCTTACTTTCGTCTAGAAAACAAAATATTCAAATCTCATCAAAATCGGAGGGGAACATTTCCATGAGTTTTCTTGTAAAAAAAGATACAGAATTTCTCAATATTATTGAAAAGTATCCTAAATAAATATGTATAAAAATTCTGAGAAAAATTTTTTGCTGACGACTGTGTGACGCGGCACGTTTCAGCACGTTTACAAGTATTGTTCCCTTTCTGCTAAATTCTGCATCTTTCGTCCTCCCACTTCTATCATTCTATTCGACGTCATTCTGCCGGTTTCGCGCGATCCGTTCCGCACTCGCCGAGTGTAGAAGGAGTGAGAAGGAGGCTGTTTGCGCGGCACGAGGAACGGACCTCACGCCGACTCCGATAGATCGTTGAACTCGGTATGACCGACGTGTTCAGGCGACGTTTTAACATTTTTTTGCTCGAGTATGCGGACATTCCTTTTCCAGCAAATGAAATATTGCGAGCAAGAATGATGAACGCAATATGAATATCGCACGAAATATATATATCGCACATGCCACGAATAAATGACTTTCCTCGCAGGGTCGTGTGTCAAGGGGGGAAACAGGTTCCTGGGCGAGCTATATTTTTGCGCGAGATATAAATCGAAACCTGACGTCAATAGAAATTATCGAAGTGAAATCAGTTACGTTGTAGGTTTGTTCTTTTTAATTAAACTTTTTAGATCCGTTTCTACCAGTATAATTTAATCTTAACTCGGTTTAACTAATTCTTCATCTTTTTCTAGTTTTAAAAAATCAGAAACAGATGAAAAGTAAGTTGAAGCGAGATTAAAATCTAATCTACATTGATAGGAACAAGTTTATTATAGGCACGGTTTATTTTTATTCATTTTCTTCACATTAAAAAAAAAATAAAAATTACCAGCAACAGGATTTTCTAACGTTTTATCGATGATTTTCGTTATTATTAATTTATAATAGCGTTGATAGGTTTGTTCGTGTTGTTTGAAATCCCGAAAAAGTACTTTACAGTTAAAAAGAGATAAATATATATTTAGATGTTGAAAAGAGAGAGAGAGAGAACGAAGATGCTAAGTGCAAAAAATGCAAGCAACGAGAACAGACTAAATGATGATGTATTCTTTTAGATCTAAAATTTTGATTGGATGATCTAAAAGAATATACCAATAACAGCATTTACTTAACTGAATCCACTAAATGCGCCCATTAGCCCGGATTTACAATAAGTTTTGAGACTTTTAAGCCATAAGAAATGGACAAATCATAGGCCGGTATTCATAGTCTAGTCTTATTTCAAGACTGTCTTAAGTAATGTCTTAAGACGTTAATGTAGCCTTCTGATTGGTTCGTGACTTTTTAAGATCGTACTTAAGATGGTCTTGTATATAAGATCTGACAATGAATGCCAGCCATAGTCGATTATTCTCCTCGCATTCGACTACAATTGGTTAATTTCTGGCTGCGGTTCACTATAATTGACATTCATTTCATTCTTGTTGTTTATTAAATGTTAAAAAAGGGCAAATAATATTCGCGAGCTTTGTAAGTCCAAATGGAACGCTCAATAGACATTTGTTTACATTAAATAAAAATTTATTAACAAATTGTTAACAAATTTAAATATCATTTTTTTTATCCAATTGGTACTATCTAAATAAATATTCATTAAAATTTTACAAATTTTTTTTCAGTATAAAAATTTAAAAAGAATTGAAATTAAAGTAATTTACATTGATAAAGCAAGTATAAATAGAAAGCACGTCGAATATTTGAAATCGTTCGCAGTCCCCTACGGCGACGGCCCTGGAAATTGGGTAGCTGATTCGACCAGCGTCGTAGAACGAGAGGCGGAAGTGACGCTCATGTTCGTTACGTTTACATTTGTTCCCGACGTCGCGTTGTGCGGAGCCATTACCCTCGTCCGCGCTAAAGCATCGTGCCATATTCCCACTCGCGCCCTGAAATTGACCGTGTTCTCGTAGTTTTAAGTGAAATATTATGAGAGTGAAGACCGAAATGGACGACGACGAAAAGGGGTAAGTAGATTACTCGGGGAGGCCCGGTATCGCGGACAACATATCGCGCCCCCCTCGCCGTCCTTCACGCTCCCATGCCTCCCATATTCGGCGGGGCTATCATCGTTCCCGTTGTTGCTGCCGCTCGCGATTTGCGCATCGCAATCGCGAGAAATGATTTTCCTTCCTCGAGCTTTTCTGCGTTTCATCATCGTTCTGTCTTCGCATTCTCGAATTTCATCCCTTGACGACGTGGAACGTTACTGTTGTAGACAGTGGATGATGCTTCGATACGCTAGCGGTTAATTCTCCATCGAATTTTTCCTTTTTGGCGATGACGACGACGACGAGACGCGCGACTCCTCGCTTTGCCGCGAGGTTCGCCGGTTGACTCCCCACGTAATTCGCGTTGTTTGGCTGACTTCGAATCTCAGGATCTGTAAAAATTCGGGATTCCCGCTCCCTCCCTCACATCTTTCACACGTCCCCCATACACCGCCCGCGCATTCTTTTATGGCAACGCACGAGAGCAGTGCGCGAAAGCGTTTCGCGTTCTTAGGCCGGTTTCTCTCTCTCTCTCTCTTCTCTCTCTCTCTCTTTCTTTCTCTCTCTTTCTCTCTCTCTCTTTCTCTATTTTTACGCTCCAATTCTCGATCGAACCCGCTCCGCTCGTCTGGAGAATCCCTTGGCCGCTGGTGCTTTGAGCTTTCGCGCCGGTCGAAAGCACGCGGAGTAACGAGAGCACTCGTTGAGTCGTTGCGTGGATACTCACGATAAGACGGAATGGCGTGTTTGAGTTTTTAAAACGATGGCTAAGGAGAATGGCGTTGTTGGATATATTATCAATTGATTCCGATATTCCTGAGCATATCACCGACTGCCGGCATATTTATGCTTCGTATGATTCAGCAAGTTTTATCTTTTTGGAATATAACCACTCCTCCTTTTCTTCGAATCCGATCTCAATATGTCTCTCTTGAATTAGTTATTTTAGAATGCAATATAAAAAAAATTATGCAATACATAAAATTATGCTTATTATTCATGAATATTTAAACAAAAGTATTAGGTTTTTTTTTATCATTGAATAATTATAAAAAGGATAAAATTGTCAATTATATTCCCTTTTTGGGGGATTTAGAAATTATTTTTAAATTATAATAAATATAAATCTTTGCATCTATAGATTATATAATTATCCTGTTTATTATGCAATATTAATTAAAGTATCAAAATGATTTAATATGCTTGAAAATTGAGAAAATGTACATTAGTGTACATTTATTACATGTGCTATTAATTACAAGTTAATAACATTTTTGGAAACTTTGAAACAGTTTTGCGATTTCTTTATCCAAAAATATTTTCCTTTATATATTATTATTGCAAAGAATAAAAATGAAAATTGAAGAACTAGTATAACTCATGCTTTAAGAATATCATCAAGTAGTTTTCCAATAAAGATAAGCATTCAAGTAGATTTAAGATCCCCCCCCCCCCACAGTGACATACGTTATTTATCTATTTTGAAAATCATATATCGAATATATCGAATAAATATATTAATGATACACTGAAGTGATGTTCTATCACATTTTGTTACAGAAAATTGTTCGTTGGTGGGTTATCATGGGAGACAACCCAAGAAAATCTCCAACGTTACTTCGGTCGTTATGGAGAGGTTATCGATTGCGTTGTTATGAAAAACAGTGAATCTGGACGTAGTCGTGGGTTTGGATTTGTAACATTTAGCGATCCTGCTAATGTTTCTTTGGTTCTTCAAAATGGTCCTCATCAACTTGACGGACGTACAGTATGTATTTTAATATTACTTAATATCATAAATATGACTTTCTGCAAACTTTTTGAATAAGATTGCAGAATCTTGTTTAGAAAGTTTGCAAAAAGTCATATTTATTGATGCATATGTTTATGATTCCACAAAACACAGTCTTGTGTACTACAATATTTTGTATTCTCCTACCTAAAATTTTTTATGATTTATGATTTTCGATTACGAATTGACTACTTTTATATGAAGCCACATTTTACTCTTATATTTAATGACGTTTTATTTTTCTAAAATTAAGGATTCAAACATTACATAATGATCTTGTATACATAAAAGTTACAGGAAGCATATCTTGTTAATGTTTTTTGTATTACAGATTGATCCAAAACCATGTAATCCACGCACTCTTCAAAAACCAAAGCGCAGTGGTGGTTTTCCGAAAGTCTTTCTTGGTGGCTTGCCAAGTAACGTTACGGAGACTGATTTAAGATCTTATTTTACTCGCTTTGGTAAAGTCATGGAAGTGGTCATAATGTATGATCAGGAGAAGAAAAAATCAAGAGGTGAGTTGATTTTTATATCAGGATATACTCATAAATTGATGCATTGTGTTTGATGGTTTTCATGGCGGCGTTTTTATTAGCGTTGCATATTTTATTATTTCTTTTTTTTGTAAAAAAATCATATGTTTTGCTAATTTAAAAAGAACATTTTTAATTTATATGTGTTACAAACTTAAAGAAAGTTGTGGAAACTGTTGAAATGTGTATCGAAACGAGAGAGTAAATTATATTTTTATTACGATAATAATTATAGTCAGAATTTTTGAAAAATATTTTTTTATTATATTATAATAAAAGGGAAAAAATGAAAAAGATGAAATGTCTAATATTGAAAGTGATTTTATAAAAACAAGTGTTTTCGGATCAAAAATTCTGATAACTACATTGCACTCCACCTCATGTACAGTAAAATTTGGTATAAGATTAATGAGAATTAATTTGTATATTCTTAATCTAGCGCAGTTTATATTAATTGTTATAAGATTTTAAAGTTATATTTAAATTTATCCAATATTGCGCAATTATTACATATATTCTGATTTATGTCGTGTAATATATTTTTCCTTTTTCGTTATTACGTTACACATATATTGCGGTATTTTATATTAAATTAAATACAGTTTATAAATAATGCGTTTTTGGCTAAGTTTTATTAAGTATAAGATTTTGTCAAATTATGCTACTGTACATACATAGCTTAAGTTTGCTATGTAATTAAGAAGAAATCTTACAAGTTCCAATTTTTTATTAGATATTATGTATTAGAAATCTTATCGAATAATTCATTTATGTAATTTTTTATCCATAATTATGTATTTTTTGTTCATAATTATAATCTTATTTATATTAAACTTATATAAAAATGATTTTGTAAAATGGATAATAACGTATATTAAAAAACTGTTAGTCTAGTAGATAATAATATTGAACTAAGTAACAATTGAATATTTAGAAACTATTGGCTAAGCATCATTGCTATGCTTACAAATAAGGTTGTGACTAAAATAACTTAAAATGCGTTTCATTTGACGCTCATAATGCTCGCGATCATCATTTGTCTTTGTTTAACAAACTTTGTTTAATAAACAGTAAGAATGAAATGATTCCATGAGCATTGCAAACTTTAAGTGGAACGCAGTCTTAGTAAATCCAATTAGGTACAAGCATTTCTCGATTATTTAGAAACATTTTTCTGTAAAGACTGATAGGCTATGGAAACTGGGTGGTTAACAAGTTATGTAATAATGTTGTTTTTTTAAATGTAGATTAACTTTAATCTCAGTTTAACTTGTTCTTTTTCGAACTAGAAAAAGGTGAAGAATAAATTGAATCGAGATTGAAGTTAATTTATATTGGTAGAAACGGACATAAGGCTTGTACGCCTTCTTTTACATTAAAATGAAATATCCTACTTCTGAAGAAAACTTCTTATAAAGTCAGCCATTAATGTTGTAAAAAAAGCAAGACAAGTTTTTAAAAATCTTTTAAAACCATCCAATAACATGGAAATATTTATTAATGTGAAGTATTTATTGTTTAAGAGAGGATTCTCCTGCTGTTTTAAGACAATTTTTAAGAATTTAAAAAATTATTGGATTGACTTAAAATTTATATGGTCTATTTATCTATTTAAAAGTACAAAAAATTTTTAAATTAAATTTGAGCGATCTAATTTGCAATTATTAAATAAAAGATAGCCAACCATTCGAGGGCGCTATGTCGATACGACTCCGGATCTCTCATTGCTTTGAAATAAAAATATGAAAAAGTTTGTTTAATATGGGTGCAGTTTTCGCTCGTAATAAAATAAAATCAACAAAGTCACATTTTGAAAAATAACAACTTTATAAAAAAGATATTAAAAGTCAAAAATATTTTTAACTAAAAAGAAAATAGAAAAAAATAAATATCCACAATTTTGTCCAAGGTAGGGGCGAAAACTACATATATACCTATACGTACTGTATGTCATGTTAAAATTTCAAGTTATGCGGTTAAGTTGAGAAAAGTAGGTTAAGTTGAAAAAAGTAAGTTTGAAAAAATTACGTTTAAAGTTTTATATATACTTTTTATATTGATAGTAACAAATTATAGATAGTAATGGCAATAGGTAGTATGGCTGTTCTGGTCATGCGATTCAATAACAATATTTCGAATCACGTGCTTTTCATATCGCTTCTCCATTATTTGTTTGTACACTTCTCTCTCTTCTAAAACTTCACAGAAATATTCCTAAATATATATTTTTTGAAAAAACCAAAAACTAACAAAATAGTTTTTTTAAACAGATTCCCTCCCTTAATATTTCTCCTACATATATTATAATGCATCATATATAATAATCATAATCTCTTTATTGCACATTATATTATAAAATAAAATTTATACAGTTTATAAGAAATACAGATAGGGGCGTGTGCTATAAATCTAAGAAGAAAATTTTAAGGTTTAATATTATCACTATTAAAATTGTTACTATTATTTGCGGTTGTTTAACTTAAACTTTTAGATACAGTCCGTCCAATTTAAATATAATATTTTATATTATACATATATTATACATATATTAATTTAGATTATATATAGAGAGAGTAATAATTACAATCAGTTGCGTAATAGTATTGGCATTCACGCTCCTGAATAGTCACCACAGTCATATTGAATCGTACTTGCGATGTCAGAAGCAAGAAATGACGTTAATTTTTATTACGTGCCATTTATAAACAATTTGGATGAAACAAAATGATGAGATTATTTTAAAACATGGACGAAAACTTATCCCCCTGATAATAAATAATCATCAAAAATAATAAAAGAAACGTGTAAGTGCAAATAAGCTACGTATGCGCATTGAATAAAAGCATGTGCTTTTTTATAATTTATTAATTGTCAGAGTTGCATTCTAAAATTCAACTTTGTCAACTCGAGTATCATTTTGGACCTTGTTGGTCACCAAATGTTGAATAAAGATAAAGGATACTTGGAGTTGACAGAGTCAAGTTTTGGAAAATATCCCAGGAAGGATAAGCACAGTTTTCGTCTATTTTTTTACAAATGTTTTAAAGCAATTTCATAATTTTGTTTTATCCAAATTGTCTTTATTTATAAATGACACGTCATAAAAATTAATGTTAAGTGTCATTTCTCGCTTCTGACGTCACAAGTACGATTCAATATGACTGTAATGACTATTCAGGAGAACCTTAATCAATATAGATAAGAAATAAATAATAATTACTTATAAATATAAATAATATTCACTAAGATAAATAAATATTCATTAATTTTTGATCTTACAAATTTAATTTTATGATAAACAAAGTTAGTATGAATAATTTTTAAATCGAATTGTAAGCATAATAAATAAAGTACTGATTTTTATACCTAATGCAATATTGTAATTTTTTGTACTTTTTATAATATTAAAATATTTTGCATTCGAAGTATTTCATAAAAAGTCACAACAGCTTAAAGCGGTGTCTACAATAAAGTAATAAGCTTTAAGTCGTAAGAAATTGACTAATTATAGTTTATTTTCTTGACATTCGACCATGATTGATCAATTTTTTATGGCTTAAGACTCATTATTCTATTGTAAACACCGTTTAATGTTATATTGCGATAAATTTATTGCAACATGAGAGATGTGCTCAGCCAATAGTCATGTAGCACTATAATCTCTCTTTCTTAGTTCCTACTGCCTGCCTCTTAGTATATGGTCTTTTTTTTTGAGGAAATTGTCAATGCATTAAATAAATTAGTAGTTCTAATGGACTTTGAATGGACTATTGATTTTGATTTATTAAATCTTGTATCATAAAAATCATGACCATGAATTACCATGAATTTACATTGCGCAATATAAAAAGCGATTATTTTATTAATTTACTAATGTAAATGACAAAATCTATTTAATAAGTATTGTAAGATTGGATGTTGTAAGTTGCTTTTTGGGGTTTTGGATGCATATTTTATGCATTGTATTGTAAAAACTGTTTTCTCGTACTGTTATGGCGAGCATTTTTTGATTGTACTCTCACGTTTGGACGACAGGATTTGGCTTTCTCAGCTTTGAGGATGAAGAAGCGGTGGACCGTTGTGTCGCAGAACATTTTGTCAACCTGAATGGAAAGCAGGTATAACACGTCAATACACGTCAATCACCATATCACTGTGTGACCTTATGCAAAAGATAGAAAATAAGTATATGTTAATATTGTTCTCCCTTGAGGCTACTAAGATTATATAGAAATTTTAGTCACATAAATTATTTATTAATACGAACATTAGATAGAATTAAATTAATTTTATTAGAATTAAATTAATTTGAATAGTATTAAGTGTAATAAATATTTTTAAATATTTATATATAAGTATTACGCTAAAATGTGTTCGTTTACAATAAGTCCAATCAATGAATCTCTATTTTATAATTAGAGTTAAATATTATTTTTATATAGTACAAGCGTTAGTGCAGAGTATCAAAGAATCGTGAGAGTATCAGAGTGTTAATCTAAAATATGCAATAATTTGTATAAAAGTAATAGTAGATGATAAATTCCTATATCATTTTTTTCCAAAAATTAATTTAATAATTGATACAAATATGAAACTTTATTATTTTTGTTAAAAAAAGAGAATATACATTTGTGTGATATCTGTTTATTTCAGGTTGAGATTAAAAGAGCTGAATCATCGAGCAAAATGAATGATAGTCATCAGGGTCAATGGGGCCCACCTCAACAAGGTGGCCCGCCAATGGGAATGGCCGGAAATATGGGGCCTATGGGTGGACCAAATGGTCAGATGGGTGGACCTATGATGGGTGGACCCATGGGTCCGCCTGGTAATATGATGCAACAATATCAGGGCTGGGGTACCAGTCCTCAAACTGGTGGATATGCGGGATATAGCACCCAGTACAATGCTCAGGGTTGGGGCGCACCACCAGGACCGCCCCAGCAGCAGCAAATCCCGCCGCCGCCACCGCATCAATGGGGTAGTAGCTATAATGTTCAACCTGCTGCAGCTACCCAAGGTTATGGAAGTTATGGTGAGTTCGGATATAATTCCGAAAAGTTACATTTTCTATTCACTGTTTATTAGCAAATATCAATCGGGGTCTTGAATCGATTGCGACATGTATGAGACAGTTTTAATGTAATTTAACAGATTTTGCTCAATATTAATAACTTATTTACTGAAGTATGTAAATGTGAAAAAAATTTGGCATTATACATAAAAAAAGCGTTCTTTCTCTCTTATCAATCTTTTATTAATTATATTGTTAATGTAAAATATTAACTGATATATAGCTGATATTTAACTAGCAAAATGAGATTTAAAAAAAAAATTTATTATTGAGCAATAGAAATTGACAAATTATCGAATGGATTACTGTACCATATTATTTGTACAGGGTACATGATGGTGAACGACGTTGATATAATTAATGTACTGGAGAAATAAATTTTATAAAAATATTGTTAACATTTATACATGCACTTACATCATCAGCATTAGAAAGCATTCGAAAGTATTTAATCAGAATAATTTGTCTAAAATTATTGAAATCTTGCTAAAGTATCAACTTCGTTTATACTATATATTTTAGATAATGATCAAATTTTACTTAAATAAATATCAACTTTAATCCTGTTCCTGTCCCCTTCCATCCTGCTTAGAGAGATTAAAGGAAGACACAGAAAACATAACATAAGAAATCTATAAATCACAATATAATATGATCTACTTTTACGGTGCCCCCTGGAGATTTTCAGAAAGATTTTAGAAAAAATATGAGGTTTTAATGTAAAGAAAGTTAAAACAGAAAGTAATTATGTCAGCCCAGACTTGTATGTTTTGTTTATTATTATTATATAGAAAGCAGATTGTATAATTTCAATGTAACGTAAAAAGAGAAAATATTAGTTTTATAAATATTCTTAGAAATAACTTATTTTCCTTAATTTTTAATTTTTCTAAGTCTATAATGTAAATATAACAAAAATCTGTCATATATGTACAGGAATGTGATATACAGCACCCAACTCTTAAGATGGGTCGGGGGGCCACATTGGGAACGGAGAATGGATCAAAGGAAACAAAAAATTCTTATACTATTTTGAGATACTCGCTGTAGTTTTCGAATTAGAAAAGGAAACGTAAGCCAATATGCGGTTAAGCTGCGCAAATTCGTAGGACGGCTCACACTCGAGCGGCGATGAAGCGCCCTTCCCTCTCCCTGCGCGCCGCCACTCGAGTGTGGACCTTAGACGTTTCCTTTTCTAAATCGAAAACTACAGCGAGTATCTCAAAATGGTATAAGAATTTTTTATTCCCTTTGATCCATTCTCCACCCCCAATGTGTTCCCGACCATCTTAAGAGTCACTCTGTATATGCATGTATACAGTATGATATATGTACATATATTTATACAGGATGTCTCAAAATTTGTGATACTCAAAATACTACAAAAAAGTTTTAAAAAAAATTTAGTAAAAAGATTATGTGTAAGTTTTTATTTTAAGCAATAATTTATAATAATAAGGTTTTAAATATGATCAATTACGGACAACGTGTACACGGCTACCTGTCCAGGAATCGTGTATGCGGCAGTATTAGTAAGCTCACTTCAGCGTTTAAACGTAGTCCGCCTAAATGTTTTGTCTGTAATTGGCTATATTTATAAAGCCTTATTATTCCATTAATTATTGCTTAAAATAAAAATTTATAAATAATTTTTTTTCTTAATTTTTTGAAAATTTTCGTCTTATAGACTATAAGATGAAAATTTTCGTCTATAAGATTTTAATTCGCGAATTTTGGGACGCTCTGTACATTATATATATATATATATATGTTTATATATATATATATATACGTACATAAAATGTTATAAACATTTTATATATGATAAGTTATTTAAAATTTTTATATAAATTTTATATACATATAATATTTGTATATTAGTAACTATTATATGGTACTATATGCAAATGTAACTATTATATAGTAAAATATATAAATATAATTACGACAATTTTGTTTAAATATCTCAAATATTGTAAATAAAACTTTAACGCTTGGTTTGGATTGACATAATACATATATGTTTCAAATATATGCGTATTTAAAATATTGTTTCTTCATAATCTTGCTTCATAATCTTATTTGTAGATTTTTATGCTTGATTCTCTTCAAGTTTAATTCTTTTCATATCTTTTTTTGTTATTTAAGACTTCTACTTATTCATTGTAGTCATGAGGTTTGTTCTTTATAGATAAACTAGCAATTGCATTCAACAGACAAAATAGTTCAGTTATTCTTTAATATGATTGGTTCTTACACTTAGTTTTTTATTGGATCTAAATGTAAACCAATCATAATAAAGAATCACTGAATGGCTTTGTATTTTGAACGCAATCAGTGTACATTTGTGTACTTAAAATGAGACACACACACACACACACACACACACACACACACACACACACAGAGGTACACAAAAAAAAAATATATATATATATATATATATATACACAGGGTGTCTGGAAATAATCGCTAAATATTTCATGGGCAAGTAGAGAGGACTAAACTGAATCGAAAAGTTCTCTATCATTTTGCAATTTTCGCAATAGTTAATAAGATATTAATTACTAAAAATTGCCAAATATTAGTTTTGAATAATTTTTTACTCAAATATTATTAACTTTACAAAAAAATTGCAAGAGATAAAAATCATTAATTTTCTTCTCATAAAGTTCTGAGAATTTTTTAAGAATTTTTTCAGAATTTTTTAATACGTATTTTTTCATGTC